TTAAACTTATGACAATATTACTTCAAAATCCCAAGTGCTGTGATTACAGGCATGAGCCACTATGCCTGGCTTTATTTGCCAGTATCTTATTAAGGATTTTTGTTACTATGTTCGTTAGGGAGATTGGGTTGTAGTTCTCTTTTTTGTTTGGATTGTTCTCTGGTTTTGGTATCAGGATAATGGTGGCTTTAAGGAATGAATTTGGGATTATTGCTTCTGATTTCATTTCATTAAAGAGTTTGAGGAATAGTGACATTAGATCTCGTCCAAAGTTGTTGTAGAATTCACCAGTGAATCTGTCAGGACCTTGGATTTTCTTTGTTGGTAGGTTTTTAATAACACCTTCAATTTCATTGATTGCTATTCATTTATTTAGAATTTTTATATCTTCTTGATTAACTTTGGCAATTCACATGAATCTAGGAATCTGTCCATTTCTTCTGCATTTTCTATCTTATTAGAATACAGGTTCTCACAGTAAGTATTTATGATCTTCTGGATTTCTGTAGGATCTGGGGTGATTTCATCCTTTTTATTCCTAATTACATGGATTTGATTCAATCCTGGGTACCACAGGGCATGCTGGCCCCGCCCCCTGGTGCGCTGAATCTGGCTACTGAGTCCACTTAGCTTGCTGTAATCTCAGCGCTGGTGAGGCTGAAAGCAGGAGAATCACTATGAGTCTGAGCTGCATAGTGAGACCCCGTACCAAATACACAAAATTAAAAAACAAACAAACAACATCAACAATATGGATTTGAGTCTTTTCTTTCCTTTTTTTAAGATAAAGTTTGCTAAGGGTTTTGTCAAATTTATTTAATCTTTTAAAGAACTAACTCGGGGGCTGGTGAGATGGCTCAGTGGTCCAAAACACCTACTTAGAACAAGCTTAGCAAAGCACAGGGACTGCAGTTCAATCCCCCAGCACCACATGCCAGCCAGCCCCGCCCCCTGGTGGGCTGAGCTGGCCCCCCCCCACATAAATAAATAAAATTAAAAAAAAAAAAAGAACTAACTCTTCAATTCTTCGATTCTTTGGGTTTTTTTTTTTAGTCTCCATTGCATTAATTTCTTCTCTGATTTTTATAATTTCCTCTCTTGTATGAGCTTTGGGCTTGGTTTGCTCTTCTTTTTCTAGATGCTTGAGGTTCAAAGTTAGGTTGTTTATTTGACCTCACTCTGTTTTTCTGATATGGAATTTCACTGATATAAATTTCCCCCTAGGACTGCTTTCATTGTATCCCATAAATTCTGGTATGTTGTAATGACATCATTTAATTGTAGAGATTGTTTATTTAATTTCTTCTTTAATTTCATATGTAACTCATAGGTTGTTTAAGAGGGTGTTACTTAATTTCCATATATTTATGAAGTTCTTGTGGTTTCTCTAGCCATTGATTTACAGTTTCCTGCACTATGGTCTGATAATATACATGGGATAATTTCAGTTCCTTTGCATTTACTTAAGTGTATTCTATGAACTGGAATTTGGAGAACCTTTGGAGTATAGCTGAGAAGATTGTGTACTCTGATGTTATGGGGTAGAATACTCTGTAGACATCTAATAAGTCCATTTGTTCAGAAGTTTAGCTCTGTTCTAGTATTTCAAAGTTGACTTTTGTACAGTTGATTGTCTATTTGTGAAAGTAGGGTGTTGAGTTCCCCCATTACAATTGTATTAGTGCTTATTTGATCTTTCATGTCTGCTTATATTTATTTTATATAATTGTGTACACTGATATTTGTTGTATATATATTTATGATTGTTACCTCCTCCTCTTGGGTTGTTTCCTTCACAAGGATATAGTGACCTTGTTTGTCTCTCTGAATCAGTCTTGGCTTGAAATCCACTTTGTCTGCAAATAACATAGCTCTCCCTGCTTTTTTTCCTGCTTTTGGTTGCATAAAGTATTGTTTC